TTTTTCTTTTTGCTTATGTGGTGCTGAGGAATCGAACCCAGGGCCTCAGGCATGCAAGGCAAGCGCTCTACCACTGAGCCACCTTCCCAGCCCCAGGTGATGTGCCTTTCAAGGTGTTTTTCTTCATGGAGTTGCTCCCTACCCCAGGACCTGCAGTGCGGCTCACTGCACTGGATGTGGGTGGGTGTGGCCTGGCCATCACTTGAGGGGCTTGTGAAGAGACCAGTGAGCCTGTGAGAGCCGGAATCACAGGACCCAGAGATGGTGGGAAATGGGAGCCACAGAGTTGCTGCACTCACACTTGGTTAAAAGAAACCCGCCGTTCAAAAAGGAGCCAGACTCAGTCCTCAGACACAAGTAAGGTTTTTGCTCTCATAGGAAGCTGCTTGTCAGCCCCACTTTGGGCTGCCCAGGCCTGTGAGCGCTGGAGGCTCCTCTGGCCCGGTCTGCTGGCATGGGTCACTTTGGAGTCGGGGTCACAGGCTCTCTGCAAGAGCGCAGCAGCCCAGCGAGGAGAGCCAGGCCCAGCACAGCCACAGCCACCAGTGCCAGGTCCCACCAGAACCTTGGGTGGCCCCAGGATGCCGGCAGCTGCCAGCCACAGCTGCCCAGCTCATAGCCTGTCAGCCGGCCCAGCGGGCGGTGTGCAGCCTGGCCTGGACTGGCGCAGCGGAGCTGCATGAGGGCCTCGGGCATATGGTCCTCCAGCCAGAGATGCAGGTAGGCGAGGCTGCAGTCACAGTGCCAGGGGTTCCCTGTGGCGTCCAGGTGCCACAGCTGCGGCAGGTGGTCAAAGGCACCCGGGGGCACCGAGCGCAGGCTGTTGTTGGCCAGCAGGAGCTGTCGCGTGTGGGCTGGCAGGGCAGGCAGGGCTGTAAGCCCCCGTCCCTCGCAGTCAACTCTCAGCCCCATCGTCTCCAAGGCCTGGCAGGTGCAGGCTGCAGGACAGGCCTGGGCGGCCCTTGACACCAGCCAGAGCAGGAACAGGAGCCTCCGGGCGGGCGCCAGGCAGGCGGGCTGGGGGAGAGCAACGTCCAGGCCTCAGCACCCTCTGTGACATGGGGCGGAAGCTGAGAGGGGGCAGAGCACCGGCGTGTGTTGTGGGAGGGGGAGGACCTTTCTGGTCCCTAGACGGCCCTGCTTGGGTGGTGGCATGGTAGAGGACTGAGAGATTCCTGCCCAGATCCCGGCCCTGAAAGACTGCACAGTGCTTCTGTCAATACAATGACATACCCAGCCCCAGGCTTCAGCCAGGCCCAGGCTAGGGTAGAACCCTCCACAGATGGTTCGAACCATCCTAGTTCTCCACAGCTCGGCTGTCCTACAACACGCCATGCAGAAAACTGCAGAAGGGTGTTCTGTGAGGGGCGGGTTGGAGTTCCAGGGGCCTGTCTGGAAAGCCACTTGTCTAGACTCATGCTTGGAATTGGGAAATGGAGGTCTGGGAGGGAGAGCAGCTTGCTCAGGGTCACCAGGAGCCACTGCAACCTTCTGTCTGCTTTGTGGCCTTCGCTGAGGGCCTGGGCAGGGAGCAGTCCCCTTGTCAGGCCCAGCTCCCCACCAGGACCCTTCACTGCAGTAGTCACTCAACTGATCAATCCATCTTCATTCAGCCAAGGAGCCAGTGATAGCTTAGAAAAAGTCTGCCCCCCCCACCCCTTCTAGAGGGAGTCCGAGTGGAGGCCACCCTGGAAGGAGGGCTGCACGTACCTGCAGGGCTTGTGCTGAACGCCTCATCCTGTGCTCTGTGCTCCCTGACAGGGGCAGTGCAGTAGGAGCTAGCTCATCAGCGAGGGTTGCCACTTCAGAGAGGAAGGAAGTGATGAAAATAGCCTGCCCTATCCTCGAGTGCAGCCCCAAGGAGGGCATATCATCTCTTCCCATCCCAGGGCTACACGTCCAGAACCACAGGCCTGGCCAAGCTATGGAGGGAAACCCACCTACCTCCAGTGCGCCATGGGCCGCAGGCCTCCATAGTGTCTGAAGGTGACTGCAGCATCCAGGACTGGGTCCCAAAGGTGGAGATGGTTTCCTGGGCCACCTGTGCCTGCAGACCTGCAAAACAGGAGCAGTAACCCCTGTCCTGCTTTGTCCTACACGTGGCCTAGTGAGCACCCACAAGCCTGGAGGGTTTTTTTGTTGTTTTTGTCATGAGGCTTGAACTCGATCTGGGCACTGTCCCTGAGCTCTTTCACTCAAGGCTAGGGCTCTACCACTTTGAGCCACGGCGCCACTTCTGGTTTTCTGGTGGTTTATTGAAGATGAGAGTCTTGTGGACTTTACTGCTGAGGCTGGCTTTGAACCACAATTCTCAGATCTCAGCCTGCTGAGTAGCTAGGATTACAGGCGTGAGCCACTGGTGCCTGGACAGGCTGGAATTTTAAGGACAGATAGTGAATAGAAACAGACACAATTGTGTTATTCCACAATGACAGAATTTGTTGAATTATAATAAATCACATATCATATCAAGTTTTTTTGTGTGTGCTAGTCCTGGAGCATGAACTCAGGGCCTGAACATGGTCCCTGAGCTTTATTTTTTTGCCAGTCCTGGGGACTTAACTCAGGGCCTGGGCACTGTCCCTGAGCTTCTTTGCTCAAGGCTAGCACTCTACCACTTAAGCCACAGCTCCACTTCTGGCTTTTTCTGTTTATGGGTACTGAGGAATCAAACCCAGGACTTCATGCATACTAGCACTCTACCACTGAGCTACTTCCCAACCCCTGAGCTTTTTTGCTCAAGGCTAATGCTCTACCACTTGAGCCAGAGCTCCACTTACAGGTTTTTGCTGGTTAGTTGGAGATAAACGTCTCACAGACTTCCCTGCCTGGCTGGCTTTTGTCTCCTTAGTAGCTAGGATTATAAGTGTGAGCCACCATCACCCACACTAATTTTGTTGCCTTTAATATACCAAGTGTTACTGATTTCACCTGCTAGCTAGGAGCCATTAGCAAGCACAGGTTTCACTATTCCAATTTTTTATTTACTAATTATGGAACATATGGCTGAGTGGGTTAAGAAAGAATTAGAGAGGCTGCAGAGGTCAGAGCGTTGTAGGGAAGGCACAAAGAGGTGATAAAAGCATTAAAAAAAATCAAGACAAAAACACCCAAAACCCAAGCAGACCTCTATAGGGCCTGGAAAGAAGTTTTATGAACCTCTGGTGTAAAGCTGTTGTGAGCACAGCTTTTGGGAGCAGGTCTAAGTGGCAGAGCAGTTCCTCATCAGAAGTCTGCATGGCAAGTAGGAGAAGCTGGTTCAGCTGGAGTCCAGAGTAGAAGCAGGGCCTTTGCTATGCAGTTCTCCCTGAGTGATGGATGGTGTGATGCGTGATGGGTCGGTGGGCCAGGTGCCCGACAGACGCAGGCTGTGTTGTCTCTCAGATGAGGGGCTTACAGCCAGTGCGACTTACAAGTTTATGTGTGTGGTGTTTCCAATATGATTTGATATAATTTACAAATGTAATTGTTGTCAGAAATAAACAACCAGTTTGTGCCTCATATTGTGCTGGCAGGTGGTGGTTGATTACTTATACAAACAAGATGTAAATTTATTCTGTCTTGTCACTAATACTCAAAATGAAAGTTTGCTCTCAACATTTTTAGTTTTCCTTAGTTCCCCTGAACAGGCCAAACAGAGTCTCTTTCTGGTGCCCTGGTACCTTTTCTCATGCTCCCTGATCTTTTTCTCTCTCTTCCTCCCCTCTCCTCTCTCTTTTTCTTTCTTTCTCTCAGTTGAACTCTGGGCCTGGGTGTTGTCCCTCAGCTCTTATGCTCAAGGCTAGTGCTTTACCACTTGAACCACAGTCCCACTTCTGGTTTTCTGTTGGTTTATTGGAGATAATAGTCTCAAGGACTTTCCTGACCGGGCTGGCTTTGAACTGTGATCCTCAGATCTCAGCCTCCTAAATAGCTAGGATGACAGGTGCCACTGGCACCCAGCTTTGATACTTTCTAATGAAAAGCTGCAGACCTAAGCTCAGAACCTCTGCCAGGAGTTAGCGGCTAGCTGGGACTTAAGATCACTGTTTTATTTGCATCTTACTTTATTTATTTATTTATTTTTGGGTCCGGTCGTGGGGCCTGAACTCTGGGCCTGGGCGCTGTCCCTCAGCTCTTCAGCCCAAGGCTAGTGCTCTACTACTTGAGCCACAGCTCCACCTCCGGCTTTTTTCTTTTTGCATATGTGGTGCTGAGGAATCGAACCCAGGGCCTTGAGCATGCAAGGCAAGCGCTCTACCACTGAGCCACCTTCCCAGCCCTGCATCTTACTTTAATGACTACCCTCTACTTAGGGAAATGTTGTCCTTTTCCTTTTCAGTCATACGATGTTCCCTTTAAACATAAATGCATTTATTTTTACTTACACTATATCTTTAGTATAGTAGTAAAAATGAAGTATAAGAGTTTATAACATTAGAACATTAATGCTTACATTTTAAAATGTCATGAAGGTTTCATAATTATGAAATATTAACCAAGTCAGCCAGTAGTTTGCAGGTGGTAAAATTTGCACACAGATGGAATACATGGCTGGTGAATTCTGGGCACCCCTGGGGTGTGGAGAGGCCTTGGGTTCATGTAGGTGTTATTCTAGCATCGTGAATAAACAGAGTCCTTAACCAGAAAGGCCAGGCTCTGGGGCTCTTAGAACTTTGGAGAACAAGATAGGCCACTGAGGAGAGAAAGAGGTCTTCCAACCAGGCCTGTGGTTACAGCTGGTGTTGGCCAAGGGTGTCAGACCCAAGAAGAGGGTCTGGGCTTCTGTCCTGGAGGGCTCAGAAAGGGTTAGGGATGGCAAGAGAAACTGAGGCTGGCAGCGGCAACCTTGCCACTCAAGGCCACACTGCTCACCAGGGCCAGAGAGCCCAGGAGCCGTCTAGCTGCTTTCTGCTCTTTAAAGCAGGGTGGCAGCCTGGCAGGAAAAGTCAGGGGCTGAAGGTGTTCAGGTGGTTAGTTCACTGCCTGCCCACGCCTTGATGGGTTTCCCTCAAGACTGTTGTAAATACTCTTGTGATGGGTGTGTG